ACCTATTTGCCGCAACTCAAACAATAATGATATTATATATATATATATATATATATATATATATATATATATGTGTGTGTGTGTTGCCTCATATAAGCCCAGCAACAATATACTACAAATCTAGCAATTTCATGACAATCATTATTACCTATTTCAATCTACAAGGGAAAGTGGCTAGTGTAACAGTTATCAGCTTGATTCTGTTTCATTCACTTTGCGCTAATACATTTAGAAAAGGCATGAAACCATACTCCTTCCACTTTGTGTTAAATAGTAGGGCAAACTGGGCTCTCTTGCCTTGAGGTGGCAACCCGTCTCATTGTCATCAGTTTACCCACAAACATGAAGAACAGTTTCCAAATAAATATATTTGGTGTATTTCAACAGAAAATATTATATAAGGCAAACTGGGATCTTTTAACTTTAAGTGGCAACCAGTCTCACCATCATCAGTTTACTCATAAACATGGAGAAGAACACCTTCCAAATAAATATATTCTGTGTATTTCAACAGCAAATTTTATTTAAGGCAAATATTATTAAATAGGAGGACAGATGTTAATGTCTGTCACCAACATGTAAACATTAAGGATGTACATACATGGGACAAACCAGATGACAGGTTGATTTATAAGCACCCACCTGAGAGAGTCTCTTACATATTTAAATCTAAAATATCTAATCTTTGATATCTGTAATTTGGGGATTAAATAGAGTGCAAATCTATTCTTGTTTGTCTTCTAGGAGTCTGAACTTTCCCAAACTGCACTATCATCCTGATATGTTTTTTACACTATTTACATTATTCGGACTATAGTCCTCATATTTGTCACCATATTTATTACTGTTGTGATGAGATAACCCAACTTCCCCATTCACGATAATGGACGAACTGGTTGCCGATTAAGTATGACCACCACGTACAGTGAGGAGAAAGGTCTTCGTTTGCTAACACCTATTGAGGTTAGCATACTCCTGACTGTATTTTGACATACCTACATCCGATTATAAAATTATTATTGAAAATCGCACTCGGGTTTACTTTGTTTATTATATCTTGCACGAGATATAACAATTACAATGTTTTGTCTGTCGAACTGAACCCTTTATTTTGCTCACTGGGGTAGACTGATCTAGTTCCACGTTTAATGGATGTCAGTTATCAGTTATCTCCTGATTGAAGTGCGAGTTCAATACCCAGTTAAGGCAGTGGAGAAATTGGAGAGGGGAATTAACAGGAGATAACTGATAACTGACATCCATTAAACATGGTACATGGAACTAGAACAGTCTAGCCCAGTGAGCGAAATAAAGGGTTCAGTTCGACATTCCAACCACCTGAAGAAGGCCAAAGTGTACAACGGGCAAAACATTGTAATAAATATGGTAACAAAGATGAGGACAGTAGTCTGAATAATGTAAATAATGTACATAATACCTCATCTTAGAAATATAGACAGATACTAAAGGGCCAAAATCTAATAAATATGGTGACAAAGATGAGGACAATAGTCCGAATAATGTAAATAGTGTACATAATACCTCATCTCAGAAATATAGACAGATGTTTTTTACAGTTAGCTTAAAGCTATTTACTCATGGCTGCTACATTTAAGTCTTTGTGGTTTACATGCAACTCAAATCCATGAACTTTGAAGATATTTTCTGAAATAAAACTCCTTGAGGTTTCTCTGTCAGCACTTTTTTCTTTATATTTTTTTTCAAGTCACGGACATTCATTTTTACTTATCGATTTTTTTCTTTTACATCTTTCTTGCCATTACCTCTGCTTTAGAGAATCAGTATACAAAGAAATTAATTCAAGTTCATGTTGCATGCTATCTTAAAGGTAAAGCGTGTTGTGCAATGTCAACTGAAATTGTACTTGTTTATCTGCCCAGTGCAAAAGTTAATCTATTTTCGTTTCGATATTTTTTTTTTTCCCCCACAGACTGGCATTTCTAATATGTCAAACTCATCAGATGTTTTTATTTGTTGTAGATAAGACCTGACCAGTACAATCAGAAGATCTAGACTCTTTCTTTCTTTCTTTCTCTATACAGTCTATTTGCCTTAATGTTTTATTTGTTTATTTATTTTTTGCTGTACATACAGCAAAACATTCTGTGCGGTTCTGCCTAGAACAACATCTATGCCTTTGACCGACTACAGGATACGGCCTCTTAGGTACACTCAGCAAAAACACCATTTATCTTAAGAGTCTGCCAGAGAAAACTTGGAAATTATATAACCTGTAACATTTGAAAAATCAAGATTAACAAGCAAAAGTACAATTGACATTCTGTCTATTCATTTATCTGATTGAGTCTATATCTCTCGATGTTTTTTCTATCTCAATCCTTTCTTTCCATCTATATCTCTCTCTCTCTATATATATATATATATATATATATATATATATATATATATATATATATGAATCTTTTATCCATCTATATATATCTAGATATGAATCTTTTCTTTTATCTGTATAGATATATATATCTTTTATTTATTTATCTCTCTCTCTCTCTATATATATATATATATATATATATATAGATATATGAATATATTTTTTCATTTAATGGGGTATTGTGAATTTTAACAGGACTTAATTGTTGGTTTTAAGAGAATGGATTTTTAATGAGTTTTAATAATTTTTTTTTTATTTTAATAAGAAAGTGACGTTAATAAGAATTAACTTCAGATTTATTTTAATTTTTGTAATTTTCATCTTGTTAGTGAGAAGAAAAAATCCAGAATTTTATATCTGAATTGAAAATCAATGTTTATAATGTATTTCTCTATGTTTGCAATGTTTCTTGTTGTATGTTTTTATTCCCAATATCAAATAATTGTCAAAAACTATTCAACTGATCTGTTTTTTATTTTTATTTTTCAGTTGAGCTAGCTGGGACATTCATGAGTCTATCACACCAACCATCATGGTCCTGCATCTAGATCAGAATATCATTAGAGTAATATTCTTTGTCATAACATAGATAATGTCAGTGATTGCTGGATGACCAACCCATCTTGCTCTATGGCTAGGTGTGTAGAGATCACTCAAGTTCTTGTTCTTATGTTTGCATAAGATTCTAAAAATATTAGGGATACGTCCATAGAGCTGTGATTTTAAAGAATGTTGTCTCCAAGAAATGTTAAGGTTAGCTCTCAGCTTCCAAGTGTATGTTCCATCAAGCTTAGATTCTAGGGTTTTAGAATGTTGAAACAGTGGCAGCATACATTAAAACTGACTCTACAGTTGCTTACAAGAATCTCTTAGGTTGTCTGGTAGATCAGATTTCCAGATTACATCCATTTTATTCAGGGTAAACATGAGTATAATGAATATTAGCTGATCAGAAAAACTATTAAATATCCTTATTGCTTTATTTTGTTTTTCATGTCTCTTATTTGGGTTAATAAACAAAATGTTTGTATTTGATACCATTAAATATTAAAGCAGCAAAAAGTTTGTATTTGATACCATTAAATATTAAAAGAAGCAAAATGTTTGTATTTGATACCATTAAATATTAAAAGAAGCAAAATGTTTGTATTTGATACCATTAAATATTAAAAGAAGCAAAATGTTTGTATTTGATACCATTAAATATTAAAAGAAGCAAAATGTTTGTATTTGATACCATTAAATATTAAAAGAAGCAAAATGTTTGTATTTGATACCATTAAATATTAAAGCAGCAAAATGTTTGTATTTGATACCATTAAATATTAAAGAAGCAAAATGTTTGTATTTGATACCATTAAATATTAAAGAAGCAAAATGTATTTGATACCATTAAATGCAAAGATTTGATTGATTTGTTTTGCCCTGCGTTGAAGACTATCAGTAATTTCTTTGCCTTTTTGGTTTCTTTTTTATCACAGACATTCTACTCTCAGATCATTTTCAAGTTGTATTTTGTAATGTTGCATATTATTCTGAAGAGAAGTATGATTTCAATGTTAAACACATATCTCCTTACGGTAAGGATAAAATTCACGGTCTCCTTATAAGGAAACATTCAGCATACATTGACTGAACAGCTTTGGAAATGAAGAAAAAAGTACAGAACTGTTATGAAATATCAGTTCTCCTATATGACAGTGAATGCTGGACCATTTCACCTCAGATGAGGAAAAAACTTGAAGCAACAGAAATGTAGTTCTACAGAAGGATGCTGAGAATGGCATAGAGTGAACATGGGAAAAAGGACAAAGTTTTAGAGAAAAAGGAAACAAAACAGACACATAGGTAGCATCAGAAAGAGATAGTTGAAATTTCTAAGGCGGATAATGAGGAAAGAGGGTTTGGAAAATTTGATACTCACAGGGCAGATTGAAGGCAAGAGGGACAGAGAAAAACAATGCATAAACTACCTGGCAAGCTTGAGTGAATGGATATTGGAGCAGTGTTTGGGAGAGATAAAAGAAAAGACAAAATTTATTAAGAACTACAAAGAACAGGAAAAGGAAATGAGGAAGATGAGGAAAGATGGCTTGGAAAATTCAACACTCAAAAGACATACTGAAGGCAAGAGGGACAGAGGAAACATCACATTATTTACCTAATGAGATTGTGTAGTTGGCCGAACAAGGATTAGGTTACATAGCTAAAAAAACGACTTTACTAAGGGTGACAAAGGAGAGAAAGTTGTAAAAAAAAGAAGGGAAGACAAGATGAAGATACAAAGGTATGTACAAATAGGAAAGAAAAATGAAAAAACTTCTTTCCAGCCTATGTGTTGGCTTCGTCATGACATTTTCAGAAATGCTGATCCCCTCTGACCTGAATTCAACTCAAATGATTTGTTTTTTATGGCTTAACCTTTTGCAGGTTACTTAAAGAATTTTTTGGAGATAATGATGAGGAGAGGTAGATTCATATCTTTCCTAGGGTACTTCCATGTAAATGAATATAACAAACCCAAATGGAATTGGAACTTGTCTCTCAGATTTCCAATTCTGAACCATTATCCATTACATCCCAGCTTACAGTACCAGGTATTCCCAAGTGGTCACCCATCTAGGTATTTACCAGGCTTTATGTTGCTTAATTTTGGTCATCATACAGGAACAGGTGTTTCAATGTGATATGGGCATAAGCCCTCCTATGTCCTGAAGAGACATTGTCTGAATCATCTTCAAGAAGTGAGAGCAAGATCTAAAAGGTCAGCCAATGTAACAGTGATCTCATCTTACAATCACTAGCGGGTCTTAAGTGCTACTTAAGATTGTTGCACAAAATTTCATGACTAAATCAATTAAGCTGTCAGATCCTCATATGTCAAAACTGATGGGAGAGAGTCCATTATCTTATCTTACTTATTATAAAACGCAGGTTGTGTGTGTGTGTGTGTGTGTGTGTCTGTAACGTTTATATGTTGGATCGAATTTCCTACATTTTTTAGCCGATTTCAACAAAACTTCACAGGACTACATAAAATTACCTTGTGGTGGTTCTAACGGGACCGAAAATGGGAAAAATACAGTTGTTTTTTAATAAAATCAATTTGAAAACATGATTAAGACACATCATGATAATGAAAGGGGGAGAACTCACCCACGAAAATGTAAACAAAAGAGCATAGCATGATGAAAAAGACGCCGAACTTAACGAAAACAAAATTTTATCGTCTAATGTTCATATTATTATTAAAGAGGAAAGATCAAAGTATTTTGGGGGTATTTTTTTACATTTTTTAATCGTTTCTAGCACGTCTGAAATTTTCGTTAAAAATATTGTTTTTTTTTTAAAAAAAAAAAAAAAAAAAAAAAAAAAAAAAGGACAGATAATCATTTTTAATCATTTTTTTCGATTTGATAAAAAAGATTAAAATCTTACTTTGATATTCTTTTAAAAGTCAATTATCATTTTTTCAAAACTGATTTTAATAAAAACAGAAATTATACTGTTTATTTAAAATATTTTGAACCAAGCTTAACTTAGCTTTGCGCCGAAAAATGTAATTTGAAAATAAAACAAAGCAGGTCATAACCTTTCGTCATTTTGACGATTGACGAAAGGCACATTCATGACGTTTAGATAACTTACGGGAGGAGAATTCTTTTCTACGGATGGAAGGAAGTGAAATTATTTAATTGAACAAATTATTTACCTTGTTACTTTTAAGGAAAACCTTCAGCGCTCTAATTTTTTATTTTTTTTTTATTTTTGTACTTAGCTTTCATTTTTATGTTTACGATGCTTTATGGAAAATATAAAGAAATTAAAAAGTAAGACTGTTAATAGTGAGATTAAATTTCATAAGAAAAAGGTATCTAATTAATTTAGGTACCTTTCTTATGAAATTTTATCAGAAGTGTACATAAGATACTATAATTTTATGTACATTTATTACATTTTACTGTGTTATTTGTATTTCCATTCATTTTATTATTAATTTTGATATTTCATTTATGGAAAAATGTCATAACTGAGATTAATATAAAAATAAGATCATATAAATTAAAGTTTAGCTGTAGTTAAATTTCATAAGATGATACTGTTACTTGTAGGTACCCTTCTCAGTTGAAATTGAAAACTCAAATTAACTTCTCCATACGTGTTTCTGCAAAAGTAAAGGGCTTAACAGCAGAGAACAATGCTGAACTCTCAAATAATGCAACTAAATTGTATTCTGGTTGGTCTTCCGTTTTTTGATAATTACTGTCCGACTATAAACACAAAAATTACATTTCTTAATTACCATGGCTAATCTGATTGGTCCAAATTATACAATTTTCAAAGCGCTTTGACAATGACAATCTCACACGAACATTTTGAAAGGTTGATGTTGCTTTTAACTAATGTTGAAATATTTTTAAAATTCAATTTAAACATTAAAAAAAAAATCTTTTAAAATTAAAGAAATAAGAAATAATTGTATTAAAAATTCAATTTTCATTGAAAAAAATTTTTGCTTTCAGAAAATATTTTCCATATTCATAAAAACATTAAAACAAATAAAAGCATTTGAAACTAAATAATATATTTGTTTTATTGAGTTTTGTATGTTACAATTCACAGCTGATTTTCAATAAGGAGCGTAAAGGTTAATATATTGTATCAAAATATCAGTTACTTTTGGAAAGAGGTCAAGTCAAGTTAGGGTTGGGGTGTCTAAATTAAAGTGAATGATGACATTCATTATACGCATATCGTCTAGTCTGTTTCAGCAACAGAGTTATTGGCGTTATGCGTTATTGCTACATTGTCAAAAGATTTTTTTTTCTAAAAGGGTTGTTTGTATATAAATGCATCGTATAAAACTACAATTTGTTTTTTTTGACGACTTCAAAGGGTTTTTTATCTTATGATTGGGTTAATCTTTTAAACCTTTTATTAGACTATGAAATTAAAATTTTTTTTTATGCTAATTATTTAAAGTGAATATTTGTTGATTTAGGCTCTACTTTTGTATTGAGCACTGTTTTTTAAAAATAAAAACAGAAATACTAAAGAACTTTGAATTATTTACCTAATGTGTTGTTTTTCCTATTTTTTCTATATATTTACACACACCCATATATATATATATATATATATATATATATATATATATATATATATTAGTCTTGCATTTACTTACTAGGGATATTTTATCAGACCCTCAACAGATGTCTGAAACTGAATTTCTAGTTTAGATTTTAATTTTAAGAGAATATGCTTCTTTTTCTATGTGCCATGTTCCTTCAGGATATGCATAATCATGGCTCTCCACAATTTCTTATCCTTAACAGCTATAGCAATATTAGCCTTTACTATTGCTTGCCTTTGTTCTGACATCCATTTACACACAATTGTTACTCCCCATTTTCCTCTGGCCTAGGATATCCTTTGGGTGTCAAATTTTCCAAGCCTTTTTTTTCTTATGTGTTCCAGAAATTTTAACACTGATTTCATACATAATTATCCTTTTTGTTTCCATTTTCCTTAAAATTTCTTCATTGTTTACATTCTCCACCCATGGTATTCTCAGCATTTTTCTGTAGAACTACAACTCTGGTTAGATAGACTGGATGGTCAGCCTAAGAAAAAGCAAAGATCAGAATGACTGTTGTTGTTTAACGATGAAGGCATATTAGAGGGAGTCAATCTGGCAGCTCAGCTAATCACAAAAAATAGCACCAAATTTATCTAATATATACTATATTCCAAATGTCAGTGCAATCTGCAATCATTGTCTGTGATGTGTTCAATGTTGTACATGTCATGTGCTCTCAGCACTGAACCATGTTGAGCAGTGTATAGGTTGGGCAGAAAATAAAGCTTGATTTGAGAAACCTTAGGGTATCAGTTGAATGGGGAAATAATTTTGTCTTTTTTGCTTCATTCTTTCTTCATTCCTTATATTACATTTTCTTTTTGTGCCTGTCTATCCACCCCCCCATCCCAATTTCTGATTTTTTTTTCTTTTTCCTCTTCAATAAATTTTCTCTTCCTCTATTTTCCATCCTACCTGACTTAAGTTATTAATTTTCTTTTTCTGCTTTGTTTCATTTTATTGTCTGACTTTCTTGCACTATTTTTCTTCATCTTTTTACCTGTCTTTGTTTCTTATCTTATTGATGGATTATTTCTTTATTTCTGTTTTAGAAAATATTTTCTCATTTCATTTATGCATTTTTTTAAACTCTTTCTTTTATATTTCTTCTGCAGTTTTGTTTTTATTTCCTTTGCTTTTTTTCTGTTTTATTTTATCTTTTTATCTTTTTTTCTTCATTAGATTTTCCTTTCATTAATTTTTCTTTTTCATTTTATTCTCTATTTTGCATCTTCATTTTTTCTTTTTATTCTTCATTTTCTTTTACTTTTTCACTTATTCTTCATTTTCAATATTTTCTTTTTTCATTTTTATTCTTCATTTTCTTATTTTTTCTATTTTTTCTTCATTTTCTTTAACTTTTTTATTCTCCATTTTATTTCATTTGTTTATTTTCTTCATTTTTATTTTACTTTTTCATTTGCTGTTTATTCTTCATTTTCTTTATTTTACTTTTTCTTTATATTACTTCTTCTCTTCATTCATCTTATTTATTTTACTTTTTCATTCTCTTTGTTACATTTTCATTTCACTCCTTTTGCACTTTTCATTTTTCTTATTTCGACTTCATTAATTTTTCGTTTTTCTTATCTTTTCATTCAATTTTTTTTATCTTTTCATTCAATTTTTTTTCCTTTCTTATTTTACTTTTTCATTTCATTATTCCTTTGTTATTTTTTCATTTCACTCTTTTTTTTGCACTTTTTCTTTCATTGATTTTTTTAAATTCTTTTTCTTCTCATTTTACTTTTCTTCCATTTTATTCCCTCCCTCTTTTTCATCTTATTTTATTTACTTATTCTTATATTTTTTCAGCTCACTTTTTCTTTTTATTCCTTTTCTTTTCTTGTTACTTCTTTATTATTATTATTTTTGTTTTTCATTCTTCTTTCTATTGTAAGTAGAGTTTACTTTGAATTTTCTTACTTTACCCCCCCCCCCGGTCCCCTCTCTTCTCTCCCTATTCTCCAACAGTGTACAGAAATACATCCGCTCTTACCTTTTCTTACATCAATTCTGGCCTTTGCTGATATTAAGTTCAGTGCCATTGCTGTGGGGGATTGTGCAGAACTGCTGATATTTGGAAGAATTTAATCTGGCTAGACACTGTGGTCACTTGAAAAGAAGAACATTTGCCAGTTCAAGAATGTATTGCTATTGAGAAAAGAAAACTGGAGTAGAAGGATGGGAGGGGAAAGAAGATGTAAATGTAAGCAAGAGGGAAGAAAACAAAAGGAGGAGGAGGAAAAAAGATAAAACTAAGAGGAAGAGAGAATAGTGGACACGAAGAATGCAGGTAAATGGGTGGAGGGGATCTTGGCATGAATGAAAATAAAAAGAATGAAATAAAAAGTTAAAAAAGAAGGGAATAAAAGTTTAAAACAAAAAATAGAAAGAAAGGATATGGTTGTAGAAAAGAACAGACAAAAAGTATGAAAAAGGAAAATGAGAAAAGACAAGATACAAAAGGAGGAAAAATATGCACGGATAGAAATAAAGAAAAAGAAAAAGAAAATGAGTGAAGGAGAAAGATAAATAGCTTTTGACTAGAGAAAAGCAGAATGAAGAAACTAAGTAGAGAAAATGGAAAGCAAAAAAAAAAAAAAAAAAAAAGAAAAATAAATAAATGCAAGAAAACAATCAACAAGAGAGAAAGAACAAAATTTAAAGGTGAATGGAAATGAAAAATACATCAGAAAAAATACCTGTAATGTGAAAGCAAATATCAAATAAATAGAAAAGAGAGAATAAAAGTGTAGAATGATGGTTAATATTGGAAAAGAATATTTGCCTAAAAAATAACGAGAAAAAGAAAGAAAAAGAGAAGAATGAGTAAAGAATGAAAAGAAAAATTAAAACAGATTATAGCTAAAGAAAAATATATAAAATGGAAAAAATGAGTTGTGATAAAAAATATAAGAAATAATGTCAAATGAAAAATATATAAATAGAAAATAAAGATTAAAAAATGAAGGAAAAATAGAAAGATGGAGTTGAGAATGAAAAGAAAGAAAAATTATATAACTAATATTATAGACTGCTATAAAAATATATGAATAGAAAATAAAAGAGAAATAAGACTAAAAAAAAATGAAACCCAGAACAGTGGGTTCAGCATTCTGAAAGGAAGAAAAATAAATAAATTATGGCAACCACCAAAAAAAATATACAAAGAGGAAATAAAGGGGGAATAAGTTAAGAATGAAATAAAGAAATTTTAGAACAAAAAATTATAGTTACTATAGAGAAAATATTACAAACAGAAAAAAGGGAAAAAATGATTAAAAAGATAAAAGAAAAAGGGAAAGTAACAGATACAAGTGGAAGAAAAAGAAAACCAAAGTTGTCCATGTTCAGTCATCAGTATTTGCAATTTCCACAAGTCTACTCAAGGATCTAATAACTATTGGATCAGTGATATATCTTTGTCTTGCCACAAGCATAATGGGTATCAGGGACATAGCATGTCACCTAGCATTCAGCAAGAAGAGAACATTAGATTAGAAATCAAGAAAAATGATAGCATCATTTCTACAGGAAAAGCCATTTTAGACTTGACATTCAACTCATGACCTTGTCTTAAATAAGAGCGAAATAGATACAAAACTTAGATCAAAGATTAGGTAAGGGGCCACTGAACCCATTGCAAACAAGTCAATCATTGAAAATGCAAATTTCAGTATTTTTGGTGTATAAGATGCAGCCTTATTTTGAAAATACAGTTTCAAAAAAAGTGAGTGAAAAATTTTATGAAACAAAATTTCAATTTGATATTTTAAAAATAGTACATATAGTATGTATCAACACACACATATATATATATATATATATATATATATATATATATATATATATGATGAACTGGAAAAAGTTTTTGTAACATATCAACCATTAAGACTTTATCAAACTAGGTTTATTTATGTTGTTACGACTACACATCCACCTGAAAGGGAGACAACAACACAAACAAACATTCAGTTATGTGCCATACATGATACACGCTTAGGCGATTATGTATCTTTCGATACATGACTGACGAGGCAGATTTTTTCCCGTAGTAGGTTGCCTTTTCTTTCTGCAGTAGACCATTTTCCATCCAAGGCTAGAGAACCCGGTCTGTCCTGTTATTTACCCATATCTGGGGGAAGAATAAGAGGATTTATACCTTCCCCAAAAGTATTAGCACGTAAGTGAATGTAATGAATTTGACTGGAATTCGAACTCAGCTCTGATTCCTCAATCCAACCTATTTATCCATTATTCCACCGTGCTGATCTAGTAATGCACTTAAATTCATAGCATCTAGGTACCATAGAAGAGAGTTCATCAGAACATTGATCATGAAAGTATTTATAGAAAATGCATAAGAAAGCTACATTACAATGATGGGAAAGTGACTAATAAGATAGAAGATTCTTCTTTGTATTTTATCAAGAACCTCTTAATACATAGCAGAAGCATCAAACCAGATGTGACAGCAATATTCAAAGCAAGGACAAATGGTAGACTTATAAACGTATCCGAGAGATTCTGGATGAATTTAAAATATATTTATTAGAATAACATATTTAAGTATTTGTGGAAATCTATTTCCAATATGCTGATTGGAAATTTTAATGCCATATTCCATTCAGGATGCAAGAGATTAAGGTTCTTCATAGGTTTCTTTACAATGTGTGAATAACCATGACTTGGGAAGATAGTTGAGGGGGTTTCCTGTTGCCTTCTCTGTGGTTTTCAATTCAAAATAGTCTTTCTGTAGTATATATCTCAACATACATAATATTGGAATAAACTTTGCATACAGCGTTACTCAGAGAAACCAGGGGTAGAGTTGACCTGAAGTACCCTCCCAGCCAGGGCAAGGATATCATGCCCTTCCCCCTCTCCTGTTGAATCTATGATATGGCCCCAACACTACAAAATATCAATTTTCATAAGGCAGTATTCATATAATATAAAAATTTTATTGTAACATAATTATGTATAATAATGCCCCTAATCTGCATCCCTCTACTAGCCACCAAATACAAATTCATATGACTAAACCAGCTGCACCTGGGTTGCAAATGTGGGAAAGATCTGTATCCTAGTTATATATACACATACTTACACCAGAGAGGAAGAGGGCACTCTTTCAGGCGTTGTAGATGAGAATGTGAGGTCCATCAAATAATAAAATTCAATATTACTACTAATACTACTAATGTAATAAAAATCAAGTGAAATTAAGATGAAAGAAATCTTAGTCAAAGATGAATAATATTAAATATGAGAAATTTAGTCTCATGTTGTCATTAATTAGCATGCTAATATCAATATGCTTCTATTAGACTGGCTGGCAGCCAAGGTTAGAGAGCCCATTCTACTCTGTTATTTAAATCCTTAACTGGGAACTTATTGTAAAACCATTAAAAGGCATTCATGAGAGTATCATAATTCAGAGAGATGTGTGGGAATAGTTTAGTATAACACTGAAATGAAAGTGTAACAGAAGTGACAGTGACTTACCAGGAGCAAAGCGAATTCACTGCCTCGCGTGTCGAACCATTCTCTGAGAATCAGTCGTGCATGCGCCTACTGCCATTTTTATGCAGCAGACTTATTTGCATAAGAGAACCATGCTACCGATTAAAAATCCGGCGGGTGGACGTGGGAGGTGACTGTTCTTCTAGGCTTCGGCGAGACTAGACAGATTGCAGATAGAAAGCAACAGCAATTTCTGGACATACGACAAGCTATTTCAGCTAACATGGACGGCCGGTTGGATTTAAAAATTATTCCCGAGTTTGACGGGACTGGATCTGTGGTTGAATGGCTTGAGAAGTTGGAATTGGTGTGCGACCTATCGGGAGTGAAGCGGCTTGATCATGTCATCCCCCTTCACTTAACCAGGGGAGCATTTGCGGTTTACCAGCAACTATCTACGGAAGAGAAATCGGACTTGGCTCAAATCAAGGGAGCATTGATGACAGCATTTGCCCCTGATAAATTCACGGTATACGAACAATTCGAGGCACGTGTATTGCGTCCGGGTAAGACCGTAGATGTATATTTGGCTGATCTACGGAAGCTCTGTCCTTTTTGGAGGAGTGCCAGACAGTGCGATGGCATGCGTGTTCGTGCGGGGGGCTTCCTGATCCTGTGAAAAGGCTCCTGTGGTCCTTGGCCAGGGTGGATGATATGTCTCTCGAGGAGTTATTGGCCCGAGCTCGGGCAATCATAAAGGACGAGACAGCAGAGAGGGAACCAGTCGTCGCTGCGGTGCAGCCCTCCCAGACTCCCCAATCTTCCCCAGACATGGGCCCACTTGTCACATGCTATAAATGTAATGGGTACAATCACTTCGCGAGGGACTGCATGAAGAGGTGAAGGGCAACTAACGCACGTTGCTATTGATGCAACGAGACCAGTCATCTGGCCAAAACTCGGTGCTACCCATCATTGCTGTGTGTGTTGACAGCACACTATGCTCGGCTCTCCTTGACTCTGGGTGCTCATGGTCAATCTTGAGCGCGAGTTTATGTCGGTCTTGGTCGAAGCAAGGTATGGCGGTATCTACATTAAACCGGAGCCATGCAGGCTTGCTGTGGAAGGAGCACCGTCAGAATTTGCACAGCAACTGGTAATACTGCTACAATTGATGTGCTGGTTATGTGAGGGAAGCCCCTGGATTTCGACCTGTTGCTTGGCATCGACGCCATTAAGGCACTCGGTGGAGTTCGCATCACGCAGCATGGAGTTTGAAAAACCACGGTCCGTCTGTGCAGCGATTTGTATCAGCAAAGCCGATTTCAGTGCGAAATTCAATGAACGGCAGGGAATTTGGGTCGCAGCCTGGAAGTGGTCGGCAGGTCATGCACCAGGAAAACAGAATCGGATCTCTGAATATCCAGGATCCAGAGAAGTTACAGGACGGAGCCAGAGTGCTGGGGCTAGAAGTATGGAAGGAACAGGGTCGACTGCGATGGCAACGAGGAAGTAGAATGGTAAATGGTTATGACTATGACATGGAGAGGTATTTTCTCCATGTGTGGCCCTAATTGGACACTTCCTCGTGTGTGGATGGCTGCAGTGGCGACAGGCGTCATCAAACGTCGAGCCACTGCCGTAACGCAGAACTGGGACGACAAAATTTGTGATGCTCCCCTGGAACGTATGATAACGGACACCCTCGCCCGGGCTCAGCAACTGGATCCTGCACAGGGAGAATGGTGCGTGAATACGAAGGAGCTAGACGTGTGGGTGGACGCGAGTTTGCTGGCTGTAGGAGTAGCGCTCGAGGCTAAGGGAGCAATCATCGAGGATGCATGCTGGCTATGACCGATAAAAAACACCCAGCATATCAATGTGGCTGAACTGGATGCCGTACTGAAGGGAATCAACCTCACGCTAAAATGGCAGGCTACGGTATTACATGTGAACACAGACTCCCTCTGCGTGTACCATTGGGTGACTAATGCCCTTACAGGAAAGTCTCGGCTGAACACCAAGGCCGCTAGTGAGATGCTCATAAGGTGATGACTTGAAACTAACGTCTCTTGTGAAAGAGTATAAACTTTCCGTTCACATAGCGCTAGTTAGATCCGACTAGAACTGAGCTGACTTGCTGACTAGAGTTCCCCAGAGGTGGTTCAACAATGTGAAGGAACTCGAACCTGTTCAACCAGTATGTGCTTCTGCCGTAGGAAACTCGAGCCTTGCTCATTTAACTGAGATTCATCGACACAGCGGGCACCCTGGAGTTAAACGGGTACTATATTTCGCACGTAGGATCAACCCGTCCGTGTCGAAAGCAGCAGTAAGATCGGTCGTTCGAAGTTGTGAACAGTGTCAGTCAATAGATCCAGCTTCTGTGTGATGGCAGAAGGGAGAGCTCAGTGTGCGTGAAACTTGGAGTCGTCTAGGAATGGACATCACACACTATAACGGTCGCCATTTTTTGACTCTGATCGATTGCGGCCCCACACAGTTTTCGATCTGGCGGCCACTAGTTCGGCAAGATGCTGCACACGTAATCCGGCAATTGGAATCGGTGTTTTTCGAATGTGGTGCCCCGGTGGAAATCCTGGCTGATAATGACACTGCATTCCGCAGTCAGCAATTCAAACAATTCATGGAAGAATGGGGCGTCCGATTCTGACCGCGCTGCACGTACAAACCATCTGGAAATGGTATTGTAGAGAAGTGTCATCGGACAATCAAATCAGGCGACTTCGACTTGGTATAAAGAAGGAGACGCAGTTTGGGTAAAAAATCCGCACGGACGCTGCACGTCAAAGTTTGTGAAAGGTGTGTTTCACGGGAATAAACAGTCCGCAGTCATCGACGGGATACCGCGACACGTGGGAGATGTACATCCACGGCTCACTTCATTGTTACCAACGGATGATGGCGGTGACACAACGTCAGGGAGTAATGAATGGCAAGAACCAAGCTCCAGTGCAAGCAGCAGCAACACCTCATCTGAAAGTGAGAAAGAAGTAGACTTGAACCTTATTGATCCCCCGGAATATGATTCAGACCAGGACACATCTGACAATTCAGCCGGGGAGGAAGTCATGGTTATACCACCGCAAAGAAGTGCAAGGGTGAAACGACCAGCCTCTCACTGTCACTTATGTGATCATACGATCAGGGGGAAGTATAATAGAAGTGACAGTGACTTACCAGGAGCAAAGCGAATTCGCTGCCTCGCGTGTCAAACCATTCTCTGAGAATCGGTCGCACGTGCGCCTACTACCATTTTTATGCATCAGACTTATTTGCATAAGAGAACCACACTACCGATTAAAAACCCAGCGAGTGGACGTGGGAGGTGACTGCTCTTCTAGGCTTCGGCGAGACTAGACGGATTGCAGACAGAAAGCGACAGCAATTTCTGGACATACGACAGAAAGCTATACAATCTACAGGCAAATTTGTCAGGAAGGTTCAATCTATACAAAGCTTGGTGACCACTCAAAAAAGAGTGTTGTGTTAAGGAGTAGTTTATACAGATAAAAAGGGGAAGATAGCGATTAACTCTAGACTTGAACAAGATTGAAGTGGTAGGGGAAACATCCTCTTGGGAGTCTGTACCACAGAGCAGTGCTTTGCAGGAAGAAGCTGCTTGAATGGAACTAATGGAATACAGAGGGAATGTGTGATTTTCTACAATGAAGGTTGAAACTAGGGAAAGTAGTTTGTCCAAGCACTTTCTATTGAAGTAGTGATAGAGCAGTGAGAGGCCCACCATATTAACACCAGTGAATGAGAGGTTGGAGGGTCTAAAATAGTTTGTCACCCACAAGGACATGGAAATGCTTTCAAACTATCATTTTATTATTGTCTGGAATTCGGACGTTCTGAAAATTTTGAAACTCATCTAATTAATAATCAAATTAAACATATGAAATTGGCCCCATAGAAAAGGAGAAATTAGGTGAGGTAAAATGAGTACCCTCATTCATTAGTTTGAGGGTGATGCTGTTGGTTTCAGACCAGTAGGAATGTCCGCAAAATACTTTCCTCTCCCTTTCTATAGGCAGAAGCACACAAATGCATGCTGGGATTTATTCCTATGCAATAAAATAGGCCAATTCACAGTTTCATCTGACTCAGTCTCAAACTGTCTTGAAGTCAGAATGCTACGTTTGCTTGTCCAAACTAGTTTTGTTATTTTAACACCAATTCTTAGTTTGTGAACATTTTGCCATATTAATATTGCTTTGTCTATATTTCTGAGATGAGGTATTATGTACATTATTTACATTATTCGCACTATTGTCCTCATCTTTGTTGCCATATTTATTACAACTATATTGTTTGCTTGCTTTGTATGTTTTTGCCCTGTTCCTTTCTTTTCTTTTTTCTTGCTGTTATTGTAAACTTTGTCAGTTCTGTTTTTCAAACAGTTCTCTTACTTATTTTACATTTGGCTACTCAGTCCACAAATATAAAAAAAACCCTGTACAACCAAATTTTCTATAAGTTAACCTACAGGCAATTCCAAACTGAACCCTTTATTTATTCTACAAGGGTAGATTGTTCTCATACATTGCTCATGTCTAGGGATATCTTGTCTAATCCTTAATTTTGTACTGCCCAGTTATTGTTTGCTCTGTTTTCACCGAGTCCAAGTACACACTGCCAAGCCCAGGGATTGAACACACAATGTAGACTTTTTGTTCCACTGCCCATGTCTGGGGATAACTTGTCTAATTCTTATTTTTAGTACTGCTCAGTTATTGTTCGCTTTGTTTCCACTGAGTCCAAGTAGACACTTTTTTTTTAGAAAGAAAAAAAGTGTTTGCTTTATGAGTTAAAAAAAAAAAAAATAATACAAAAAAATGCTAAAAGACAATTTTTTATTTATTTTCACCATTCAGTTTATTGAACAGCAAATTTACTCTTTGGCCATCCATCTAGCTATGAGGCAATTTTCTAACTCCATTTTCGTAGAACTTTTAATCTTTCTCAACAAAGAACCGCTCAAAGTGCTTTTTGTAGTCTTCCAAGGAATTTAATTCTTTTCATTCAAAGAATTCTCTGAAGACCAGTTAATCAAAAGATGCAACATCTGGTGGATATGACAGATGAGAGAAAACTTCCAAGTCAAGCTGTAAAAATTTTTGTCTGTTCATCAAAGAAACATGCTGTCTAGAATCATCCTGAGGGAATAGTTCACCTTTTCTCAGAACAAATTGCAAATGTAACAAAGACAAAGGTGAGAGAAAGAACTTTGGAAGATTTATTTAGATTTTGGCCAACGGAAATCGACATTTATCCATATACCCATTCGAACGGAATGTGGCACAATGGTAATTGTAGAATGATTGGCTATGGTTAAATGTAAATAAAAGGCAGAACTACACAACAACAGAATTGACAAAAAATATGACAAAAGGTTCACAAACTAAGAATTGGGGTTGACACATAAAAGCAAATACAGATGAATGAATGCATTGTTATGACATCAAGACAAGACAGACAAGGACTAAATCAGGTGACACTGACAAGAAGCTAATCTTATTGGCTAGGAAGAAATCCCAGCATACATTTGTGTGCTTCTATCAACAAATTGAAGAGAGGAGTGTTTTGCAGTATTCCCTGTATGATTGAAACCAACAATAATTTTAGTTATTTACATATGATAATACTTATATAATTCTTCGGTATTTCTTGGTAATGGTAATATTAGTGTTATATAGGAATAAAGTGTCTCTGCCAACACTCGAGTCTGAACATAGATCTCCAGGTAGTAAACACAGTTGATCCCATTTTTGAATTAAGTAGACAATATCAGTGAGTATTATCAAGCAAGTACTATTAGTGTGAGTGTTATTTGAAGGCGTCTGATACTAGTATTGTTCAACGGTGTTACTATAGTTGTAACTGTGATTACAAAGTCTCTACTACCATGAGCATTACAAAGGTGACAATGAGTATTTGTTGGCATTACAAAAGTGGCAACGAGTCTTCATTGACATTACAAAAATTAGCCGTTTCCTTATAAGGAAACATTCAATATGTAGAACCATGTCGCCTGTTATTTTTTGGTTAAGATTTATAAAAACGTTCTATTAAAACCATTTAAATAAGTTTTTCAAGTTAACTGCTATTGCTCTTTTCAGTATTGATCAGTACTTCCTCCCCTTTTCTTTATTATAGCATCGAACAACAATATCTTTACTCTGTCGTTATTTTCGCTTCAAGATACATGTGCTTACCAATTTAGTTTTAGCACTGTATTAAACCCTCAAGTGATGTAGTTTGTGATTCGGTAATGTCAGTCTATGGGGTTTGATAAAGGATGGACCTTGCTAAGACGTACAGACTTCAGTCACTTAGAGTCAATTTTAATTATCAATCTGAGAGTTTAGATATTTCTGAATGGGTTTGGCATTAAGGGGATAAACCCCTTGTGCTTGAGCACATGAATTATCAGTGAAGGTGCTCAGATGATCCAAGAACCTTCCAAAGCATGAAGATTGGAATTCACCTTGGCTCGTCTTCTATATGCCATCTCAATTCAGTTAATCATGAATCAAATAGAGACTTTTGCAAGTAGTAAAATACAGAATGAGGTTAATTATTGAATATTCTCAGCTTTTATTTTTTATTATTTAATCATATCACCCCATGCAAGGCAGTAAAGCTGCTATGACACAAGGGAATTACTGAGTGTGAAAGAATAAAAAAAAGTGAAGCATTATTTAGGCGACAGAAGAGTAATCAATACAGTAGATGACGATTGACATTGCAATTAATTTTTTTAAACGTCAAACTTGACTGAAAAGTATGAAGCTAGAAGAGAGTTCCACAAGCGTGAAGTGTGAGGAAAGAAAATTTTAGCATAGAACTTCGTTACATCTTGTCAGTTCAACTATGAATCGATGAAACTTTTCCTCCCTATCTAGTACTGCAGTTAAATTCATATAGTCTAGGTACTATAATGAAGAGTTTATCTGAACATTTATTCCATGAAAATATTTATAGAAAAGGCACAGAAAAGCTACATTATACCACTGGGAAAGTGACTGAAGCTGAGATGCCAGATCAGGACCAATAATATTGCTGATTCTTTTTTGGATTCTATCATGAATCGCTAAATGTGCAGGAGGAGCACTGGACTATATGTGGCGGCAATATTCAAAGTATGGATGGATGTTAGACTTACAAATATCTAAGACATGCTGGAGAGAAAAATTGTCTCATATGACACAGTGAACCAACTTTCTTAGGAGTAATGGGTTCAATATAATCTTTCCATGTCATGTCATGTCGGTAAATGTTATTTAATAATGTTTATCATAAACAGAGCATTTGCTTAAATACTTGTATCTATAAAAATAACGTTAAACATAAAAATATGTCTTTAATAAATAAATTGTCGGACCTTGTCCATTTCTTAATATATGACGTCATTTGTTTACATTCGATACGCCAGAGCAGTTATGAATGTACGAGATTCATGGAAAATTGGAGTTTATAACAGTAAATTCGACCTTGTCTACCGATTGGTTCTTTGTAAGCTCAAACTGGTAGGGCACGTATGTAAGCGTATATGACGGTTCCGTATAGGATGCAGGTTCGAATCCTGTCAAAGAACGAAAATTTTCTATGAAAATTTCTCGGACATTCAGGCCGGTAAATGTTATTTAATACTGTTTATCATAAACAGAGCATTTGCTTAAATACTTGTATCTATAAAAATAACGTTAAACATAAAAATATGTCTTTAATAAATAAATTGTCGGACCTTGTCCATTTTTTAATATATATATATATATATATATATATAAATATATATGTATGTGTGTGTGTATATGTATATATAATTATTTATTCGAAAATTACAACATAAATGTTATAAAATCACTACAAAAATAATCATTTTGTTTTAACACTTCTGTAAGTTCTACATTCAACACCATCACTTGATAAAGACCAGAAGTGTTGAAACAAAATAGCTACTTTTGTAGTGATTTTATCACATATTTATTTTATAATTTTTGAATAAATAGTTATACAGAATTATACTTGCTCTACTCTGTATTGACCACTTTTTAAGAATAGTATTTGTTGGTTATTGAATTTATTCTGTATACAACAATCCTATATTATATATGTATATATATATATATATATATATATATATATATATATATTTTTTTTGGTCATATGCTTAGAAATAAGGAAGCCACTAGGATGCATGGGGTTATGTATTTTGAGCAAGAGCAGATAGGGTGATAGAATAAAGGATGTGGAGAAG